ACACAGCCTGTATTGACTGCAAACCTAAAGTGACCAAATGATTCTTCTTTGTTTACAAATTCTTCCGTTAAAGAAACTCCAGATAAGCTATCCAGTGTCTATGGCCCATCGCACATGAAATCGCATATGAGCGTCGATAATTTAAAGTCGCATATTGATTGACATAACATAAATAGAAGTAATAATATAAGCATGCGCGTTAGTTCATACAGTCTTATGCTATAAGCTATGCAATTCATGTGCAATGGTCTTTCTGACAGGAATTAAATTCTTCATATTTTAAATAACTTAATCGAATTGATCTAAAATGTATCTAAACTATTTTATATTTAGAATGAACTCTAAAATAAAATTTATCGGTTTTCTGGAAGGAAATATATATATATATATACTATATATATAATATATATATATATATATAAATCATAATTAATCGAATTGACCTATAGCGTATCTGAATTATAGTGTATCTGAACTATTTTATATTTAGAATCAACTTTAAAATAAAATTTATCGGTTTCCTGGAAGGAAATAGAATATATATATATATATATTATATATATATATATATATATATGTATAAAACTTATTCCTTCTCATAAATACACCACACACATACACATACATATATATATTGATAATTTATTTTTATTATAATTATTTATCTTTTAATTATAATTATTTATCTTTTAATTATAATTATTTTATCTTTATTTTAATTATAATTATTTTATCTTTTTATATATTTTTTATTCTCTCTCTCTCCCTTTCTCTCTCTCTCTCTCTCTCTTTCTCTCTCTCTCTCTCTCTCAACTATGATATAATAGATGCTATTTCAAGAATACATACAAATGTAAATTATTATAGTATAATAACAAAAAATTAATTATACCTTTGACAGCACAACATTCCTTGACTGTGACTGGTATACCATACAGCGGTTTTTCCTTCTCTAATGTTTTAATGTCAAACTTGCCGTTTGCTAATTGTTCATCGCAGATTTTCGCCTCGAATATTGCTTCACCAAATCGATTATCGATAACGGCATTTAAGATACAATTCACTTTTTTAATGTGTTGTATATGCGTGTTCACGACATCGTAACATGTAATCTGTTTTTTATAAAAAAGCAATTTTCTATATACTATCTCATTTATTAAATCATTCTCTTTCATGTTTGTATATCGATACAATATATATAAAATATAATTATATAAGGTTACATATAATTTTTTAATAATATAATTTATACATATATATTATTATAGGGAATACACTTACCTCTCTTTGTCTAATTTTTTTAGCAAGTGCAGTGGCGCTAAACGTAAGTAAGGAATCTGTTATTGGTGGAATTTTTGCGGTTTCTTGCGAATTAACAATACGATCCGATATAGTATTGCATAGATAATATTTAGTATACTGAATATAATACGCAACTTTAACAGCATTGTCTGCAAGATAAACACGTTAATATAATATTAATATAAGATAATTATGTTAATTAAGATAATTATGTTATTTATATCTACTTCATTCCATATCATGTTAGGTTAAATTATGAAAGTTTGTACTTTTCTAGTTTGCCATGTATCGTATATTAGCGTAAAGAAAAATGCACAAGAGATCTAAGCGTTAATTTTTACGCGATAGCTTCCTACTTAAAAATTAGCTCAAGCTGCACCTCAAGACAAACTTCCTTTGAGTATCTCTATTGAATCGAGACTATAAATGAATACCAAATTGATTTTTAAGATTCATTTATTAAACCATATCATATCTCAAAATTAGTTTCAGCTGAGTGTCTCAGCAGAATCATGATTATAAATACGGGCCTAAGCGCTTCTGTTGTATAAAATATGCGCTATTCTCACGATTATTTGCATATAAATTCAATTGATCACAACAATGTCTCCAATGACAAAGCATTGATTCCAAGAAATAAAGTTTCCTATTAAATACGAAATATCTAAAAGTCACTTTGAAGAAATATTTAAATCATTTTCTCGTCGCTAGAGATTCGATTCGATCGATTAACGATTCGAGAATAACGTTACTTTCACTCTCTCTCTTTCCTGACTCTGCAAATTTTGTTTTTCAAAGTGTCATCACTTCCTTGAAATCTCTGATTTTATTTCGATAAAAATATGTTTGTGCGGAAGCGAAATATCATGTTCAATACACAGTGAGTTATGTGACTAAGAGTATTTACACAAGTATATTTACACAAAAGTGAATAAAAATACGTTTTCTGTTAAACGATAGTTCGATCATGGTTATTCGAAATGTTTGCAAATACGTTTGTTATGGCTTCTTGAAATATGATACACAATATTTCGAACAACGTCTATAAAAAGATACATGTATGTATGTAAAAGAAATATTATTGAGAAATATATGATGTACATTTGTTCATCCAAAAGATAATGAAACATTATTTTTTGTTTCTTTCAGGTCTTAAAATGAAAACAATGAATGTGAACAAAAAATGAAAGTTTTTATGCTTCATTTTTTGTTCACATTCATTGTTTTCATTTTAAGACCTAAAAGAAACATCAAATCGTTGTCAATGTCATTTTATACATATGTGTATATATAAACAGAGTGTCTCATTTTAAAAGTTCCACTCTCATAACTTTTTTAATATTGATTGTAGAAAAAAATGTTTCAGACAAAAGTTATATGGCTTGAAGGGAGACATAAAATGGTGTCATTAGTAATAATTTCAAGCCTCATAACTCGGAAAGTACTTAATGAAAACTAACATAATTATAGTGTTTTGGAAAGCTCTCGAGATGAACTATAAGAACATGCAAAAGGATGGTCTAATTTAAAAAGTTGGATGTGACCTTCAGGTGACTTTTCAATGTCAAACTAATAACACCATTTTATGTCTCCCTTCAAGCCATATAACTTTTGTCTGAAACATTTTTTTCTACAATCAAAATTAAAAAAGTTATGAGAGTGGAAATTTTAAAATGGGACACCCTGTATATTATATAATATGAAATAAATATATATATATAATATATAAATTAATTACACGATAAATGACTGATAATTATATAACTTGATGATTGTTATCGATAGTGATACATAAAAATATTATTCATATTATATTTAACATAAAAATAATTAATAATAATTATAAATAAAAAAATAAAAAAAATAAAATAAGAATAAATTAAAATAAGAAAAAATAAGATTTTTTGCTCCTATTTTTTTTATTCGTTTACAAAGATTTAATTCATGATATGTGCGTGCGCAATAATTGGGTCAACTTTTATCGTTCTGATTTGTGATAAACACTTTTCATATTTCTATAAAACAAATTTTCATTAACTACTATTACTATAAGAAGTCATCTCTCTCGATACATCATATAAATAATTATTCTAAAAATAAATGATTTCGTACGTACCGCTTAATATATACTATAATACAACCTCATCAACATCAAGTCTTATCTTTCCAATGATGGACGTTTCTTGGACCCTCCAACAAAGTTATTAAAAATGTTGTTCAAGTTCTGTCTTATCTTTTTTTTTACAGGGCGATAATCTCGGCGCTGAATAATTTCCTCGTGCACGAGAACTTCGTGCGAGAAGGCAGAAGGCACCTTCGATAATTGACGCGATCGCGAAAACGATGCCTGCGGGAATCACACTATCTCGAGTCGTCGGAATATGACGTACGAATGCATGCTATGAGCGCACGGCAAAACGGACTGAATGCAACGATGTCCCTACTAGTGAATTTAACAAATGTCACCTGTGGGGGAGGCTGATAGCCCTGCACGCGCTCACAATGTTCGCATATGGACGAACGATCACTTTTTCCAAACGCATATTAAAATTCCCAATTTAGTATAATGTAAGTCAATTATAGAGACAACTTGTTGTCTGCGTGCGTTGTGCATAAGTGTAGTAGCTTTTTTTGCACCTATTTGCTCTTGTTATATAAATCGAAGAAACGTAAAAACGCGGTGTATGCGATTTTGATATTTCGATTGCGATATACATTTTATTTTTTCATCTTACGCAACAAGAACAACAGATATAAATGAAAAAAATATTGTGTAAAGCACACGCGAACACATTGCTTATTCCATTAAAAATAAATTAAACTAAAAATAGTCAAGTATATAAAATATTAGGCACACAGAATATTGAATTGCAATTAAAATAATCAGTATTTCGTATAATATATATTTATAATAAAATTATGATACATAATATCATGTGATGTTAATTAAATGTGATGTTTTAAAAAAGGAAGAATGCGTAAATAAAGAATATCTATACGTTATCGCGAATTATTTTGTTGTGCAGTATTTATGTTTCTAAACATTTACATGTATGTATAGAATACGAGATATAGTCGAGGTTCCTTGTATTAGGCTTGTGCATCGTTTTCGAGCTATATACAAATGTAATTATGTTATTTAAGATCTATTCAGTAGCGATAATATTTATCGTATAAGTCTCATTTCGAATAATTAAAAAAATGCAATAAAAAGAATGCAAATGAACAGATATATTATAAATGATTTATTACACAACAGTGCAACAATGGAGATGGAATTATTGAATAATTAAAAAACAAACATGTAGTGATATACGTCGAAGTAAATCTAACGAAGATTTTGCAAAAATTTCAAACTATGAAACTATGATAGTGATTAGTCTATTCACGTATGTATGTGGTACACGCGCGTATATATTAATATAATTATATAGGATAGTGTGTTATTAAGAATATATATATATATATATATATATATATATATATATAATAATTGTATATTAGATCTTTTTGTCGCATAGAAAATTGCGCGCACATAATGAAGCATCGAGCTATTGCAATAAATTTTTGACTTTCAGATAGCTGTTTAAGGGAAAAAAATCTTGGGAATGTGATATGTTCAAATAAAACATATTTCGTTTCTTGTTAAAGATATATATATATATATATATATATATAATATATATATATATTCTTAATAACACACTATCCTATATAATTATATTAATATATACGCGCGTGTACCACATACATACGTGAATAGACTAATCACTATCATAGTTTCATAGTTTGAAATTTTTGCAAAATCTTCGTTAGATTTACTTCGACGTATATCACTACATGTTTGTTTTCTAATTATTCAATAATTCCATCTCCAGTGTTGCACTGTTGTGTAATAAATCATTTATAATATATCTGTTCATTTGCATTCTTTTTATTTATATATCTTTAACAAAAAACAAAATATATTTTATTTGAACATATCACATTCCCAAGATTTTTTTCCCCTTAAACAGCTATCTGAAAGTAACAAATTTATTGCAATAGCTCGATGCTTCATTATGTGCGCGCAATTTTCTATGCGACAAAAAGATCTAATATATAATTAAGCTTAAATAATAATTTCCAAAATAAACCATGCAGATAATTGTTATTTGCTTAACGATATCGACGGCGGCACCCAACCACCGAAAGCAGTCTCCAGTTCTTTTGCAACTGCCAAGCAGAGGCGATCCTGATAAGGTGCGGCTATCACCTACAAATTTTTTTTAAATACAACTTTGCTTCATAAAACATTCTAAAACAGACCAGATAATTGTTATCGTATTTTTCGAATGTTTGTACTGTTCTTATAAGGAAAGAGAACCATATTTGATTGGCTTACCTGAACACCAATGGGCAATCCCTCGTGGTTTAGTCCCATCGGTACGTGCACTGCAGGAAAGCCAAAAACATTGAAAATTGCGCAATAGACGTTGCTCAATGTTTCACACAAGGTAAATTTTGAGAAAATCGCCGGACATCGGAAAGTCGGGTAAATAAATATTCCGTTCTCTCCCAAAAGATCCTGCGCAAGAAACGAAGAGAGACGATGAGAATAGAGAGACAGTTACGATAATTGATGTTAAGATCTCGAGACATTAACCAGTAGCTTCTGCCGAATCGCTTTTCCCTGCTTCGTGTAATGCGATATATCTGATTCTGAGAATGGAAAATGCGTCTCGAGCATTAAGGCGTAGATGGTAGTCTGCATCGTGTATTGCGACAAACCGAAAGGAATTTTCAGAATTTCGATGGCTGGATTTTTTTTCAACTACGACAAAAGAAAATATCAGAGGATACGAATTTTGTTTGCATATAAATACAATAAAAAATATATTTTCGAATTGTTTATTTTTCGATAAAGAAAACAATTTTCATATCGTTTTATATCTACAATGTAACGTGTAGATGTAAAGATATTACATTCTAATTTTAAAACAACGTTGCAGCAATATTGCGCAATACGGCCGCGCAATGCAGTTTTGCAGTGAATATCGCACTTTTTTCAGCGTTACATGGAAAAGACACGAACGTTACTTTCACATGTCGACAAGAGAGTTAGCTGACTATTTAAATGTTTCTATTATTTCTTCATCAGAAACGAAATTATATTTTACGATTATAAATTCGAGTTATTTGATGCAATAATTTTTGTCCATGTTTTTTAAAAAGAAAATATTTTGTGTTTTGTGTACATAAAATATAAATACCTTGGGATCGCTAGCATCTACCAACAAATTAGGGATTTCCTTTATAGACATAAACGTACTTAACACAATTTCAACCAGTTCGGTTGGCCATTCTATCGGCAACTGCAACATGTCGAGCAGCTCTGTGTCAAATTTTACATCTTATAAAATAAACACGCTCTATAAATAAACGTCGTGAATACCTTCTCCGGACGAATATCGTATTGCGCAAAATGTGTTACGGTTTTCAGAACACAATCTTTGATTTCCGGCACTACTGGTAACATGCCTAATGCGTCGTCCATGCCGAACCGGTAGTAGACCTTCAATTGCCGTAGATCCACCGGCACATCTAGACGTAGATTGTGATCGCTTGTGGATGTCAGCACTTTCATAAATACCCCAAGATCTTCCGCGTATCTGGTCATTGGACCAAAGGTCAAAAGTTTTTGATAAAGTTTGTCCTCGGATTCCGGGATATGTCCTATGTTCGAGATAATTTCTGCGAGAAGAAAAGTGTACGATAAATTAATATATAAATATCTTTAAGAAAACAGAAATAAATTAAAAGTTGACAAAAGTTGACATATTATGAATGGAAGCATGCATTAGGAAAAAATAAACTTACCAGCCGTAGGCTTGTGCCCAAAAATGCCGTTGAAAAGAGCCGGTAATCTTACAGAGCCAATAATGTCCGAACCGATTCCAATCACAGAGGCTCCTGCCCCGAGCAATGCACCCTTGAACGAAATGTATTTAAATATATGTGTACGAATATATTTAAATATATTTTTTTACTTTTTTATTTTCCCTTAGATATTAGATTGTTTCATTAAATTCAATCTCTTAAAATATCTTTAGATCAATTATAAAGTAATATCACATGTAACGGTGCGTGTTATCTTTGCGTTCTCTGCCTGCGCGAGAAGAAAATATTTCCTAAGGGAAAGTGGTTAACGAATAATAACTTTTGATTCTTGGCTCGAAGAAATTTCGATTGAGTTGGCACTCGAAAGACAATTTTTTAATAACGATCGATAATGATAGCATTTTCGATTGAGAAAGCAGTATCGATAATTTTATAATTGCTAGTCTAATTATGAAAATAACATATATGTATAATAGAGATAATTGTTTTGCGATTAATTTTTTATACAATTAAAAATATAGATGTACTGTATCGAATAAAACTGTTTAAAATGCTGCGTGACCCATGATTTTTAAAATGTAATTTACAAACAGTTTCAAAAAAGTATTATAAATTAAGTAGAAAAACTCGTTATATAATATATTGAGAAAAAACAGAGCTGATGCGAATATGAGAAAAATTGTCATTAAGTAAAATTTTTTCTAAAGAATGTAAATTATTGTCTACATATTTTTAATAAGCATTTCGACATTTACTTGTGTTTCTTCAGTCATAAATTTATAATATATAAAAAGAAACAAAAAATATATCATATGGACCACATGTTAAAACGGATAGCAAAGTGTATAATCGAAATACAGAAAATTAGCAACATCACCAAAAGTTAAATATATATATCACACGTATCATTCTGTCGATCATTCTTACGACATTAATTTAAAAAAATGATTTTCTTTCTTCTTGTCCATAGTAATCATTCGTTTTTATAAATGCTAAAATATACGGTTTTTGTCTAGTAATCATATCTTTATTGTAAAGAAGAAATTAATGTTTATTGTTAATCCTAATCGAAAGTATTATATTATATTATTAGGTTGTCCAGAAAGTTTGCGATTATTATGATTTTTAACCTTCAAGTTCGTATACACATATTTCAGCTCAAAATAAATTTTATTAATCGAAATAAGAATTTTGAAATCTATACATTATTGCCAACAAGAAACAAGTTTATTTATTCCTGTAATATAAAATTTCGGATTTTCAGAAGCAACGAACTCTTCGAAGACATTTTTAACAATGGCTTGATTGTTGATGTTTTCCCCTGTAAGAAATTATCGATATGCTTAAAAAAAGTGATAGTCAGTTGATAAAAGATTTAACAAATATGATGAGTGAAGCAGAGTTTTTCATTTGGTTGCGCAAAATCAATGCAAAACACACTTCAAAGCGACAATTGATTTAATTTCTGCAACATCGATTGTGACAACGTGTCGAACATTATCGTGTAGAAGAATTGGACCTTTTCTCTTGACCAGCGCCAAACGTAGACGTGTAAGTTCCTGATGCATTTTGTAGATTTTTTGACACTTCTCTGTCGTGATAATTTCGCTCGAATTTAAAAAGCTGTAGTGAATTATCTTGGTTAACAAGTATCAACAATCATCATATTTTTTTTGGTGCAATTTCGGTTTCGGAAAATGTTTTGGCACTTCATCATAGTCTAACCATTGTGCAGAATGTCGAACATTATCGAACAAGATCTATTTTTCATCGCACGTTACAATGATCGAGAAATGAATTATTTTGGTTGCGGAAAATCAATGCAAAACACATTTCAAAGTGACAATTCTTTTCGCTCCATTGAAGCGGCATCTATTTATCGAGCTTTCTTCTTTTTCCAATTCGTTTCAGGTGATCGGAAACAACTGACTTGCTTACTGCTTTTTCTGCAAGCTCTCAAACTGTTGCGTGGATCTGCTTCAACTAACATCTTCTAACATCCTCAAGTCATTTTCATCGTCAATGGTCGCACATCATTCAGAACACTCTTCATCTTTAAGGCTCTCATCACTATTATGGAATTTTCAAAACCAGTGTTCGTTAGTTATTATTATTAAAATGTAAAGTGAAGTTTGCGCTTTTATAATGGTAATATTACATAACATAGACATAAAGGAAAAACAACTTCACGTGAAAAAAAGCACCATAAGCATCTTAAATAACAAAAAACGCAATAACCTTCTGGACAATATAATGTATGTAAAGATTATTAGAGTCATTTTTTAATGTAAATTTTTATGTAAGTTTATGTAAATGCCATTCATATCAATATTGTATAATAATGGAATATTTAGTGTCTTTTAATTTTTGTATGTTACGTGGTTCTTTCTCTCTTTTTTGTTTCTTATGTATATTACTCATTTATAGCTAAAGAGAAATAAGTACTCGAAATACTACTTATATCTATTTAAAGACATTTTGACAATTGCTTATATTTTTTTTAAATTCAGTCTGTTAACAATTTTTTGTTCCTGTTTGCTCATTATTTTTGTGTTATATTAATCCAGTGTATTTATATTTATTTGAATTCTATTGTAACTAATGAAGAAATCGAGAACATGTTCTTTCACGAAAAGAAATATCACATAAATAATTTAAAAAATAAATGAAAAAATAGGCTCACGATAATAACAATTATTTTATAATAACTATTATTATTTCGTAATTATTTTTTTATAACTAAGTAAAAATTGGCAAATAAGAGTCAAGGCGCAGTAATTGGAGTGCAAAAAGAGTTTCTTCTTCCTTCTTCTTTTAATATATTTCAAAATATTCAATTTCGTTAAAATATGTATAGTTTAATATACATTAGTTATATTAAAATGTACATTAATTACGTATTTAATTTTTTCTTATCCTTGCAACCGCGTTTGGACTCTTATTTGTCAATTTTGTCACTCACAGTAATAAATAATTGTTTCCTGTTATATAATTAACTTATTATTAGTGTTCTAGAGATATTCGCAATTGGATTACCTCTCCTCCAGATGATCCGCCAGACGTGTACCTGGTATCATAAGGATTACATGTACGGCCGTGCAATAGATTCGAGCTTTCTACTCCACAGCACATCTCCGGGGTGTTCGTCAGGCAAACTGGAATCGCTCCAGCGTTTCGGAGTAGTTTAATGACTAGTGCATCGTGGGATGCCTTCATCCCTTTGCGACCTAAAGAACAGCCTGTATGACTGCAACCTATGACCAAAAGATTCATCTTTGTTTACATCTTCCTTAAATAAACCTCCGATAGTATCCAGTATTTGACCCATCGCACATGAAATCGCATGAGCGTCGATTATTAAGTAGCCATATTGACTTATAACATAATATAAGTATAATATAAGCATGCTCATTAATCATATCCTATGCAGTCTTATCCTATGCATATGCAGCTATGCAACTTCATGTGCGATGGTCTTTTTTTGACAGGAATTAAATTCTTCATATTCCAATAATTTAATCGAATTGACCTATAATGTATCTGAACTATTTTATATTTAGAATAAACTCTAAAATAAAATTTATCGGTTTCCTGGAAGGAAATAAAAAAAAAAAAAAAAATATATATATATATATATATATATATATATATATGTATAAAATTTATTCCTTCATAAATACACACAGACATACACACACATATATATTTATAATTTTATTTTTATTATAATTATTTATCTTTTAATTATAATTATTTTATCTTTATTTTAATTATAATTATTTTATATATTTTTATTCCCTGTCTCTCCCCCCCCCCTCTCTCTCTCTCTCTTTCTTTCTCAACTATGATATAATAGATGTCATTTCAAGAATACATACAAATGTAAATTATTGTAATATAATAACAAAAAATTAATTATACCTTTGACAGCACAACATTCCTTGACTGTGACTGGTATACCATACAGCGGTTTTTCCTTCTCTAATGTTTTAATGTCAAACTTGCCGTTTGCTAATTGTTTATCGCAGATTTTCGCCTCGATTATTGCTTCAACGAATCGATAATCGATAACGGCATTTAAGACACAATTCACTTTTTTAATGTGTTGTATATGCGTGTTCACAACATCGTAACATGTAATCTGTTTTTTATAAAAAAGCAATTTTCTATATACTATCTCATTTATTAAATCATTCTCTTTCATGTTTGTATATCGATACGATATATATAAAATATAATTATATAAGGTTACATATAATTTTTTAATAATATAATTTATACATATATATTATTATAGGGAATACACTTACCTCTCTTTGTCTAATTTTTTTAGCAAGTGCAGTGGCGCTAAACGTAAGTAAGGAATCTGTTATTGGTGGAATTCTTTGCGGTTTCTTGCGAATTAACAATACGATCCGATATAGTATTGCATAGATAATATTTAGTATACTGAATATAATACGCAACTTTAACAACATTGTCTGCAAGGTAAACACGTTAATTATTATAAGATAATTATGTTAATTAAGATAATTATGTTATTTATATCTACTTCATTGCATATCATGTTAGGTTAAATTAAGAAAGTTTGTACTTTTCTAGTTTGCCATGTATCGTATATTAGCGTAAAGAAAAATGCACAAGAGATCTAAGCGTTAATTCTTACGCGATAACTTTCTAATTAAAAATTTGTGTCCCTTTTGTAATTACAAAATTATTACAACTTCAATATTTCAATATTAATTTTATATTTAATATTAATTTCAATTATTAATTTAATATTAATTTTTAATTCGAATTAATTTTCAGTATGTCTTATTATATTTTTTCTTATAATTGATTATCGTTTATTAAACAACGGCACATTGTATTTTCTGTTAATAACATTTCATAAGAATATGGAAACAAAGTATTATAAATATATGAAAATATATGCGAAAGTTAAATATCAAAGTATTATAAATATATAAAAATATATGCGAAAGTACAATATCATTTGCAAATCTGATTGCAATAACTCAATGGCACATTCTGATAGATTATTATAAGAAATATACATATAATGTAAAATACATCTTTACGTATATGATATGTTTTCTTTTTAATATCAAAAAAAATTTTTGCGTAACATGAGTTATAAGTAGAAGCAATTTATATTTAAAATATTGAAATGACTCATTAACAGGAACATCATTGCATCTTAATGTTATTTAAATGAAAAGCTAGTACATATGTTTTATCAAAAAATTTATATCTTTATTTCGTATCTCTATACATTCAAGTATGCTAATCATTGACGTTATTACTAATCACTGACGTTATTGAGATTTAATTAACGTTCTCGAATTCTACATACATACATAAAGAATCTTAAGGTCATGGAACAAGATTTGCAATTCTAGGTGGTCTTATCTTCGCCTTAATTTTTGTGTCACGATTCGCGAATAAACGTAACCGTAACTTTATGACAGGTCCTTCGCGCGCAGCCAAACAATGTATCCGTGACAGTTCCTTTCGTAACTGGCCACCTAGATTCTTTTAAACCAATACAATAATGCGGCGTACGAGTCCATCGCATTTATGCAATAGTCCGAGCAAGTCAATATATATTATCTCGCGATCATTATTTGTGCATTATCTTTTTTGAGATACTCGTGTATAATTTATAGCATAATTTACATTTACGACTCCAATTGGATCATAAAAACGATATAATTTTCGAAGATCGGTGTAACCGCAATTATCGCACACGTAACTTATAAATCTACGAAAGGTTATTTTAATATTGTTATTTCACGTTAAATAATTTGCGTAACCTCAAGCTTGTTTCAAGTACAAATAATTGATTTTAATTTAGTCAAAATTGCAAATACGAAAAGTTCTCCTTGTTTTATATTATTTTTTATATTTCATATTATTTCATATTTTATATTTCATATTTTTACATTTTATATATTACATTTATATATTACATTTATATATTATATTTTATATATTACATTTATATATATATATATATATATATATATATATATATATTACATTTTTATATTTTATTATTTTATTTTTATATATATATCATCTTTCATATTTCATTTTTTATATTTCATATTTTTATATTTTATATAATATATCATATTTTTATATTTCATTCTTTCGTAGGCACTTTCGCGTTTATTTTAAAAGAATTCACGTTTCTTAACTGCGGCTCGTAGCTTTGGTTTTTGTTCTGCATTTTACAACGGCATTTTCCGCGATAGATGGCAGGATAAATGCTCGTGTAAACTAATCAATGCGACCTGGAGATCGCTCTTTGGTCAAGCACATCCGAGATATATTGTGCGCACGGCAAAAATACCTAGACTCGTATCTAACAATAATAAGTATATCTACACGTATTCATACCGCACGTGTTTTGACGCAATACGGAAAAAACTTATGCAGATTTATTTAAAAAAATTAAAATCGATTGGGACAAAGTGCGAAGATTAGTAACTTTTTTTTATTTTCTCGAATATGGATTAAATTATTAAGCTACGATTAGCAGTACAAATCAGCACAAACGTAACACAATGCAGCACAAATAATAAAAATACAAAATTCAAAAAGTGCAAGGCTAATTTCACACAGGTTCATAAATCACACTCATCGTATATAAAGCACGCAGCACATTTTGAAATGCTTCATTTTTTTAAAAATTATACCAAATATGCGAATAAATGCAAAGTAATGAATTCTAATGAAGATATACAGGGTGTTCAAAAAGTCCCGGTACGGAGGAATAACTCGAAAAGTAAGGGTCGGACAAAGAAACTTTTGGGACAAAAGTTGTAGGGCTTACTCCGAGCTTTTATCTCGTGACCTTGAGTTTGACCTTGAGCTTGACCTTCAAGGTTATTTGAAGGTCAAAGTGTTTTTCTTAAATGGGAACCCCTATTTTTGATTGTATATTCTTATAGCTGACCTCGAGAGCTTTCCAAAACACTATAATAAAATATTTTTCCCTCAAGCATTTATCGAGTTATGAGGCTTCAAATCATTTCTTAATTTTACATAAACCGTAAAATATCTTGTAAAATATTCACTTTTCGATTATTTTACCTTAATACTTTTATGTACAAAATAATGAGAGGAATCAATTGGTCTAAAAAAAAACACATAATTGTTCCGAAGAAAAAATATGTAATTTGCAATTAACAATTACATATTTTTTCTTAAAAACAACTGTATGTTTTCTTTACACGCAGCACATTTTGAAATGCTTCATTTTTTTTTAAATTATACCAAATATGCGAATAAATGCAAAGTAATGAATTCTAATGAAGATATATATATAACCAGCTACGTAGTCGACGTAGGCAATGTGTATGACAAATGTACGATCGTAGCGGCTATGAACAGAATAAAAAATTAACATCATCGAGACTATGTAATCTAACACAAAGGCCCGTATTTAATACTTCAAACTGTATTCAATTGAAAAGTAGAATGATTACTCACATGAAATTCGTCTTGAGATTTAAAATATTGATTAAAGCAGCGATTACGCGCTTCTTTGATTAACCTTTTTTTAAATCATAAGTAAATATATACAAAATGTCATCGCCACAAAAAAAGAAAAAATTTACATATATACATATATATCATATATATCATATTGATCATAATTTTCATAAATATCATATTGTTCATAATTTTCAATCCAATTCATTTTAATTAATCTGTACATTATCAAAAATTTTGTAACAAAAATATTTTCACTATTAAGTATAATACTTTTTACTATGAAGTAAAATTATTATTTATATTACTTATATTAATTATATATTAATTAATTAATTATATTATATTAATTATATTACTTCGAACTACACTTGAGTGATACGCAATTTTTTCCAATCTAATCTTAACTGATACAAAATCCAAAGACTATTAATATGTACAGGTGTGATTTTTTCTCAAGCAACGATTATTAAAATGCAATCAACATAACTCAAGCTGCATCTCAAAATAAACTTCCTCTGAGTATCTCTATTGAATCGAAATTATAAATGAATACCATATTGATTTTTAAGATTCATTTATTAAACCATATCATGTCTCAAAATTAAACCATATCATATCTCAAAGTTCCAGCTGAGTGTCTCAGCAGAATCATGATTATAAATACAGGCCTAAGTGCTGGCGTTGTATAAAATATGCGCTATTCTCACGATTATTTGCATATAATTCGATTGAATATAACAATGTCTCCAATGACAAAGCATTGATTCCAAAAAATAAAGTTTCCTATTAAATACGAAATATCTAAAAGTCACTTTGAAGAAATGTTTAAATCATTTTCTCATCGCTAGAGATTCGATTCGATCGATTAACGATTCGAGAATAACGTTGCTTTCACTCTCTCTTTCCTGACTCTGCAAATTTTGTTTTTCAAAGTGTCATCACTTCCTTGAAATCTCTGATTTTATTTCGATAAAAATATGTTTGTGCGGAAGCGAAATATCATGTTCAATACACAGTGAGTTATGTGACTAAGAGTATTTACACAAGTATATTTACACAAAAGTGAATGAAAATACGTTTTCTGTTAAACGATAGTTCGATCATGGCTATTCGAAATATTTGTAAATACATACGTTTGTCTTATGGTTCTTGAAATATGATACACAATATTTCGTACAAAGTTTATAAAAAGATACATGTATGTATGTGAAAAAAATATTATTGAAAAATATATGATCGACATTTGTTCATCCAAAAGATAATGAAACATTATGTTTCTTTCAGGTCTTAAATTGAAAACAATGAATTTGAACCAAAAATGAAGGTTTCTATGCTTCAAATCAATGTCATTTTATACACAAAAGTATATATACCGGGTGTCCCATTTCAAAAGTTCCACCCTCATAACTTTTTTTAATTTTGATTGTAGAAAAAAATGTTTCAGACAAAAGTTATATGGCTTGAAGGGGGACATAAGATGGTGTCAATAGTAATGATTTCAAGCCTCATAACTTGGAAAGTACATAATGAAAACTAAATTATAGTGTTTTGGAAAGCTCTCGAGATGAACTAAAAAAATATGCAAAAGCATACAGGGTGTCCCATTTAAAAAGTTAGATGTGACCTTCACGTGATCTTCAGGTGACTCTTCAATGTCAAACTAAAGACACCATCTTATGTCCCCCTTCAAGCCATACAACTTTTGTCTGAAACATTTTTTTCTACAATCAAAATTAAAAAAGTTATTCGGGGTCATCGATTAAAATGAGACACCCTGTATATATAATATATAAATTAATTACACGATAAATGACTGATAATTATATAATTTGATAATTGTTATCGATAGTGATACATAAAAATATTATTTATATTATATTTAAGATAAAAATGATTAATAATAGTTATAAATAAAAAAATAAAAATAAAATAAGAATAAATTAAAATAAGAAAAAATAAGATTTTTTGCTCCTATTTTTTTTATTCGTTTACAAAGATTTAATTCATGATATGCGCGTGCGCAATAATTGGGTCAACTTTTATCGTTCTGATTTGTGATAAACTTGTGATAACTTTTTATATTTCTATAAAACAAATTTTCATTAACTACTGTTGCAATAAGAAGTCATCTCTCTCGATACATCATATAAATAATTATTCTAAAAATAAATCATTTCGTACGTACCGCTTAATATATACTATAATACAACCTCATCAACATCAAGTCTTATCTTTCCAATGATGGACGTTTCTTGGACCCCCAACAAAGTTATTAAAAATGTTGTTCAAGTTCTGTCTTATCTTTTTTTTTTACAAGGCGATAATCTCGCCGGCGCCGAATAATTTCCTCGTGCGCGAGAACTTCGTGCGAGAAGGCACCTTCGATAATTGACGCGATCGCGAAGACGATGCCTGCGGGAATCACACTATCTCGAGTCGTCGGATTACGACGTACGAATACATGCTATGAGCGCACGGCAAAACAGGCTGAATGCAACGATGTCCCTACTAGTGAATTTAATAAATGTCACCTGTGGGGGAGACTAATAGTCCTGCACGCGCTCGCAATGTTCGCATATGGACGATCACTTTTTTCAAACGCTTATTAAAATAAGTGTAGTAGCTTTTTTTGCACCTATTTGCTCTTGTTATATAAATCAAAGAAACGTAAAAACGCGGTGTGTACAATTTTGATGTTTCGATTGCGATATACATTTTATTTTTCCATCTTACGCAACAAGAACAACAGATATAAATGAAAAAAATATTGTGTAAAGCATACGCGAACACATTGCTTATTCCATTAAAAATAAATTAAACTAAAAATAGTCAAGGATATAGAATATTGGGCATACAGAATATTGAATTGCAATTAAAATACTTAGAGATCAATTTTAGTATAGTTTAAACAAAGGTTGTGATGTTAATTTGAATTTTAATTCTTGATTAAATTATGCATCTGTAGAAAAGTTCAAATGTTCAAAAGTTCAAATATTGAAATGTCATTCGAACACTTAAAGATCAAGTTTAATATAGTTTCAAAAAGTGTATTAAAATAGCTATAAAAAAACTTACGACGTTAATTTGAATAATAATTCTTGATTCAATTGTGCATCTATAAAAAAATATTGTTTTATTAAGATAAAATTAAGGATATCCTATTAAAAATCGATTTAAAATAACAATATCGTTAAATCTCAATTAATAATTCTCACTATAATTCCATTATCTCAATTAATAATTCTTAATATAATTCCCAATTAATAATTTCTCAGTTAATAATTGTCAGTATAATTTCATTAAATACCTAATTTAATTTTATTTAAGAAACTAATTTTTTCAATAAATTTTAATTAAATTACATTCGGAGACATTTTTCAGTATTAATTAATTTTTATATTACAAATGCTTTATACAGAGTGTCCCAAAAGTCTGGACACAGTCGAATATCTCACATAGAATGCATTTTAGAACAAAACGCTTTAGACAAAAGTTGTATGGATTAAAAAGATATATTTAACTGTAACATCCATTTGACATTGAGTGACGTCGCCAAGCTTAGGACAAGGTCAACTTGAATTTTTTAAATGGAACCCCCTATTTTTTATTGCATATTTTTGTAGCTTACCTCGAGAGCTTTCCAAAACACTATAATAAAGTATTTCTTCATTGAATACTTTTCAAGTTACGAGGCTTGAAGTAATTTTTTAATTTTACATAAACCATAAAATATCTAGTAAAAAATTCATTTTTGGATTATTTTACCTTAATACTTTTATGTACAAAATAATGAGAGGAATCAATTGGTGTAAAGAAAACATACAGTTGTTTCGAAGAAAAAATATGTAATTTACAATTAACAATTCCATATTTTTTCTTCGAAACAACTGTATGTTTTCTTTACACCAATTGATTCCTCTCATTATTTTGTACATAAAAGTATTAAGGTAAAATAATCCAAAAATGAATTTTTTACTAGATTTTATGGTTTATGTAAAATTAAAAAATTACTTCAAGCCTCGTAACTTGAAAAGTATTCAATGAAGAAATACTTTATTATAGTGTTTTGGAAAGCTCTCGAGGTAAGCTACAAAAATATGCAATAAAAAATAGGGGGTTCCATTTAAAAAATTCAAGTTGACCTTGTCCTAAGCTTGGCGACGTCACTCAATGTCAAATGGATGTTACAGTTAAATATATCTTTTTAATCCATACAACTTTTGTCTAAAGCGTTTTGTTCTAAAATGCATTCTATGTGAGATATTCGACTGTGTCCAGACTTTTGGGACACCCTGTATATATAAGTACGGGTTCATTTTATATGTACTTCATTTTTTATTTTTCATTATATTTTTATTAAGATTTATTAAGATTTATTGTTTATACATCGTGAATTGATAATTTTCGAAAAGAAGAAAAAAATTTCATGCTCATGAATATTTGACGCAAATTTTTCTTAATTATTATAATATTATGTAATAAAAGATTCATCAATATATATGTGAGTAGCGAAGGCATAAATTTTTCTTAATCATTTCTGCGAAAAACGATTCATTTATTTATTCCAATATATTCATTCCAATAATAGAATATATGTAGAAAATAAATTTGGAATAACATGTAGTGATATACGTCGAAGTAAACCTAACGAAGCTTATGCAAAAATTTCAAACTATGAAACTATGATAGTGATTAGTCTATTCACGTATGTATGAGGTACACGCGCGTATACATTAATATAATTATATATGATAGTGTGTTATTAAGAAAAAAAAAATATATATATTGTATATATATCTTTAACAAGAAACGAAATATATTTTATTTGAACATATCACATTCCCAAGATTTTTTTCCCCTTAAACAGCTATCTGAAAGTCAAAAATTTATTGCAATAGCTCGATGCTTCATTATGTGCGCGCAATTTTCTATGCGACAAAAAGATCTAATATACAATTAAAATTAAATAATAATTTCTAAAATAAACCATGCAGATAATTGTTACTTCCTTAACGATATCGACGGCGGCTCCCAACCACCGAAAGCAGTCTCCAGTTCTTTTGCAACTGCCAAGCAGAGGCGATCCTGATAAGGTGCGGCTATCACCTACAAATTTTTTTTAAATACAACTTTGCTTCATAAAACATTCTAGACCAGGTGATTGTTATCGCATTATTCAAATGTTTGTATTGTTCTTATAAGGAAAAAGAACTATATTTGATTGGCTTACCTGAACACCAATGGGCAATCCCTCGTGGTTGAGTCCCATCGGTATGTGCACTGCAGGAAAGCCAAAAACATTGAAAATTGCGCAATAGACGTCGTTCAATGTTTCACAGAAGGTAAATTCTGATAAAATCGCCGGACATCGGACAGTCGGATAAATAAATATTCCGTTCTCTCCCAAAAGATCCTGCGCAAGAAACGAAGAGAGACGATGAGAATAGAGAGACAGTTACGATAATTGATGTTAAGATCTCGAAACACTAACCAGCAGCTTCTGCCGAATCCCTTTTCCCTGCTTCGTGTAATGCGATATATCTGATTCTGAGAATGGAAAATGCATCTCGAACATTAAGGCGTGGAAGGTAGTCTGCATCGTGTGTTGCGACAAACCGAAAGGAATTTTCAGAATTTCGATGACTGGATTTTTTTTCAACTGCAACAAAAGAAAATATCAGAGGATATGTATTTTGTTTGCATATAAATCAATAAAAAATATATTTTCGAATTGTTTATTTTTCGATAAAGAAAACAATTTTCGTATCGTTTTATATCTACAATGTAACGTATAGAGGTAAAAATATTACATTCTAATTTTAAAACAACGTTGCAGCAATATTCCATAATACGGTCGCGCAATACAGTTTTGCAGTGAATATCGTCTGTATTTTTTTCAGCGTTGCATGGAAAAGACACGAACGTTACTTTCACATATCGAACAAGAGAATTAGCTGACTGTTTAAATATTCCTATTATTTCTTCATCAGAAATGAAACTATATTTTACGATTATAAATTCGAGTTATTTGATGCAATAATTTTTGTCCATGTTTTTTAAAAAGAAAATATTATGTGTACATGTTAAGAAAATGTTTTGTATACATAATACATAAATACCTTGGGATCATTGGCATCTACCAACACATTAGGGATTTCCTTTATAGAGAAAAACGTACTAAACACAATTTCAACCAGTTCGGTTGGCCATTCTATCGGCAACTGCAACATGTCGAGCAGCTCCGTGTCAAATTTTACATTCTATGAAATAAACACGCTCTATAAATAAACGTCGTGAATACCTTCTCCGGACGAATATCGTATTGCGTAAAATGTGTCACGGCTTTCTGAACGCAATCTTTGATTTCCGGCACTACTGGTAACATGCCTAATGCGTCGTCCATGCCGAACCGGTAGTAGACCTTCAATTGCCGTAGATCCACCGGCACATCTAGACGTAGATTGTGATCGCTTGTGGATGTCAGCACTTTCATAAACACCCCAAGATCTTCCGCGTATCTGGTCATCGGACCAAAGGTCAGAAGTTTTTGATAAAGTTTGTCCTCGGATTCCGGGATATATCCTATGTTCGAGATAATTTCTACGAGAAGAAAAGTGTATAATAAATTAATATATAAATCTCTTTAAGAAAACAGAAATAAATTAAAAGTTGACAAAAGTTGACATATTATGAATGGAAGCATGCATTAGGAAAAAATAAACTTACCAGCCGTAGGCTTGTGCCCAAAAATGCCGTTGAAAAGAGCCGGTAATCTTATAGAGCCAGCAATGTCCGAACCGATTCCAATCACAGAGGCTCCTGCTCCCTTATATATATATATACAGGGTCTACCAAAAGTGTGGAAACCCCTAAATATCTCGGAAAATATACGTTTTACAGAAAAGTGTTTCCAACAAAAGTTGTAGGGTTTAAGAAGATCTATATACTGATTCTATCAGTTTGACCTTGGATGGCGTCGTCAAGGTCAGGTCAAGGTCACATTGACTTTTTTAAATGACACCCCCTACATTTGATTGCATATTCTTATAGCTTAATTCAAGAGCTTTCCAAAACACTATAATAATGTTCATTTTTATTAAGTACTTTGCGAGTTATGAGGGTTGAAATAATTTCTTAATTTTACATAAACCATAAAATATCTAGTAAACCATTCATTTTTCGATTATCTTACCTTCATACTTTTATGTACAAAATAATGAAAGGAATCAATTGGTGTAAAGAAAACATACAGTTGTTTTTAAGAAAAAATATGGAATTGTTAATTGCAAATTACATATTTTTTCTTAGAAACAACTATGTGTTTTCTTTACACCAATTGATTCCTCTCATTAATTTGTACATAAAAGTATGAAGGTAAGATAATCGAAAAATGAATGGTTTACTAGATATTTTATGGTTTATGTAAAATTAAGAAATTATTTCAACCCTCATAACTCGCAAAGTACTTAATAAAAATGAACATTATTATAGTGTTTTGGAAAGCTCTTGAATTAAGCTATAAGAATATGCAATCAAATGTAGGGGGTGTCATTTAAAAAAGTCAATGTGACCTTGACCTGACCTTGACGACGCCATCCAAGGTCAAACTGATAGAATCAGTATATAGATCTTCTTAAACCCTACAACTTTTGTTGGAAACACTTTTCTGTAAAACGTATATTTTCCGAGATATTTAGGGGTTTCCACACTTTTGGTAGACCCTGTATATATATATATATATATATATATATATATCACATCCTATATATATATATATATCACACATATCATTCTGTCGTTACGACATTAATTTAAAAAAATGATTTTCTTTCTTCTTGTCCATAGTAATCATTCGTTTCTATAAATGCTAAAATTTATACGGTTTTCGTCTAGTAATCATATCTTTATTGTAAAGAAGAAATTAATGTTTATTGTTAATCCTAATCGAAAGTATTATATTATATTATTAGATTGTCCAGAAAGTTTGCGATTATTATGGTTTTTAACCTTCAAGTTCGTATACACATATTTGAGCTCAAAGTAAATTTTATTAATCGAAATAAGAATTTTGAAATCTACACATTATTGCCAACGAGAAACAAGTTTATTTATTCCTGTAATATAAAATTTCGGATTTCCAGAAGCAACGAACTCTTCGAAGACTTTTTAACAGTGGCTTGATTGTTGATGTTTTCCCCTGCAAGAAATTATCGATATGCTTAAAAAAGTGATAGTCAGTTGATAAAAGATTTAACAAATATGATGAGTGGGGCAGAGTTTTTCATTTGGTTGCGTAAAATCAATGCAAAACACACTTCAAAGCGACAATTGATTTAATTTCTGCACCATTGATTGTGACAACGTGTGATCGAATATTATCGTGTAGAAAAATTGAGCATTTTCTCTTGATCAGCGCCAAACATAGACGTGTAAGTTCCTGATGCATTTTGTAGATTTTTTGACACTTCTCTGTCGTGATAGTCGCTCGAATTTAAAAAGCTGTAGTGAATTATCTTGGTTAACAACTATCAATAATCATTTTTATTTTTTGGTGCAATTTCGGTTTCGGAAAATGTTTTGGCACTTCATCATGGTCTAACCATTGTGCAGAATGTCGAAGATTATCGAACAAGATCCATTTTTCATCGCACGTTACAATGATCGAGAAATGAATTATTTTGGTTGCAGAAAATCAATGCAAAACACATTTCAAAGCGACAATTCTTTTCGCCCCATTGAAGCGGCATCTATTTATCGAGCTTTCTTCTTTTTCCAATTCGTTTCAGGTGATCGGAAACAGCTGACTTGCTTACACCAACTTTTTCTGCAAGCTCTCAAACTGTTGCGTGAATCTGCTTCAACTAACATCATCTAACATCCTCAAGTCAGTTTCATCGTCAATGGTCGCACGTCATCCAGAACACTATTCATCTTTAAGGCTCTCATCTCTATTATGGAATTTTCGAAACCACTGTTCGTTAGTATTCGTTCCTGGGCTCAAATTGTTGATATTGCGAGCCATCTCAGTTGCTTTATCCAACTTTGAATTTTTCTTTCCATTTTTAATTCAAATTTAAATAAAGTTTAATTTAAATAAAACACAAACACAATATCAAAATATAGTTATTATTATTAAAATGTAGAGTGAAGTTTGCGCTTTTAAATTGGTATAATATTACATAACATAGACATAAAGAAAAAACAACTTCACGTGAAAAAAAGCACCATAAACATCTTAAATAACAAAAAACGCAATAACCTTCTGAATAATCTAATGTATAGATTATTAGAGTCATTTTTTATGTAAATTTTTATGTAAATTTATGTAAATATCATTCATATCAATATTGCATAATAATGGAATATTTAGTGTCTTTTAATTTTTGTATGTTACGTAATGGTTCTTTCCCTCTTTTTTGTTTCTTATGTACATTACTCATTTATAGCTAAAGAGAAATAAGTATCGAAACACTACTTATATCTATTTAAAGACATTTTGACAATTGCCTATATTTTTTTTTTAAATTCAGTCTGTTAACAATTTTTTGTTCATGTTTGCTCATTATTTTTGTGTTATAATATTAATCCAGTGTATTTATTTGTGTTATAGTTAGTTGTGTTATATTTATTTTAATTCTATTGTAACTAATGAAGAAATCGAGAACACATTCTTTCACGAAAAGAAATATCACATAAATAGTTTTAAAAATAAATGAAAAAATAGGCTCAAAGTAATAACAATTGTTTTGTAATAACTATTATTATTTTGTAATTATTTTTTATTACTAATTGAAAATTGGCAAATAAGAGTAGAGGCGCAGTAATTGGAGTACAAAAAAGTTTCTTCTTCCTTTCTTTTTTTAATATATTTCAAAATATTCGTTAAATTTCGTAAAATTTCGTTAAAATATGTATACGTTAATGTACATTAGTTATATTATAATGTACATTAATTACGTATTTAATTTTTTCTTATCCTTGCAATCGCGCTTGGACTCTTATTTGTCAATTTTGTCACTCACAGTAATAAATAATTTTTTTTTAATTAATTTTTTTCTGTTATATAATTAATTATTATTAGTGTTTTAGAGATATTCGCAATTGGATTACCTCTCCTCCAGATGATCCGCCAGACGTGTACCTAGTATCATAAGGATTACGTGTACGGCCGTGCAATAGATTCGAGCTTTCGAATCCACCGCACATCTCCGAGGTGTTCGTCACGCAAACTGGGATCGCTCCAGCGTTTCGGAGTAGTTTAATGACTAGTGCATCATGGGATGCCTTCATCCCTTTGCGACCTAAAGAACAGCCTGTATGACTGCAACCTATGACCAAAAGATTCTTCTTTGTTTACATCTTCCTTAAATAAAACTCCGATAGTATCCAGTGTTTGGCCCATCGCACATGAAATCGCATGAGCGTCGATTATTAAGTCGCCATATTGACTTACATAACATAAATATAAGTATAATATAAGCATGCGCGTTAGTTCATACAGTCTTATGCTATACAGCTATGCAATTTCATGTGCAATGGTCTTTTCTGACAGGAATTAAATTCTTCATATTTTAATAACTTAATCGAATTGATCTAAAATGTATCTAAACTATTTTATATTTAGAATGAACTCTAAAATAAAATTTATCGGTTTTCTGGAAGGAAATATATATATATATATATATATATATATATATATATATATAAATCATAATTTAATCGAATTGACCTATAGCGTATCTGAATTATAGTGTATCTGAACTATTTTATATTTAGAATCAACTTTAAAATAAAATTTATCGGTTTCCTGGAAGGAAATAGAATATATATATATATATATATATATATATATATATATATATATGTATAAAACTTATTCCTTCTCATAAATACACACACACATACACATACATATATATATTGATAATTTTATTTTTATTATAATTATTTATCTTTTAATTATAATTATTTATCTTTTAATTATAATTATTTTATCTTTATTTTAATTATAATTATTTTATCTTTTTTATATATTTTTATTCTCTCTCTCTCCCTTTCTCTCTCTCTCTCTCTCTCTTTCTCTCTCTCTCTCTCTCTCAACTATGATATAATAGATGCTATTTCAAGAATACATACAAATGTAAATTATTATAGTATAATAACAAAAAATTAATTATACCTTTGACAGCACAACATTCCTTGACTGTGACTGGTATACCATACAGCGGTTTTTCCTTCTCTAATGTTTTAATGTCAAACTTGCCGTTTGCTAATTGTTCATCGCAGATTTTCGCCTCGAATATTGCTTCACCAAATCGATTATCGATAACGGCATTTAAGATACAATTCACTTTTTTAATGTGTTGTATATGCGTGTTCACGACATCGTAACATGTAATCTGTTTTTTATAAAAAAGCAATTTTCTATATACTATCTCATTTATTAAATCATTCTCTTTCATGTTTGTATATCGATACAATATATATAAAATATAATTATATAAGGTTACATATAATTTTTTAATAATATAATTTATACATATATATTATTATAGGGAATACACTTACCTCTCTTTGTCTAATTTTTTTAGCAAGTGCAGTGGCGCTAAACGTAAGTAAGGAATCTGTTATTGGTGGAATTCTTTGCGGTTTCTTGCGAATTAACAATACGATCCGATATAGTATTGCATAGATAATATTTAGTATACTGAATATAATACGCAACTTTAACAGCATTGTCTGCAAGATAAACACGTTAATATAATATTAATATAAGATAATTATGTTAATTAAGATAATTATGTTATTTATATCTACTTCATTCCATATCATGTTAGGTTAAATTATGAAAGTTTGTACTTTTCTAGTTTGCCATGTATCGTATATTAGCGTAAAGAAAAATGCACAAGAGATCTAAGCGTTAATTTTTACGCGATAGCTTCCTACTTAAAAATTAGCTCAAGCTGCACCTCAAGACAAACTTCCTTTGAGTATCTCTATTGAATCGAGACTATAAATGAATACCAAATTGATTTTTAAGATTCATTTATTAAACCATATCATATCTCAAAATTAGTTTCAGCTGAGTGTCTCAGCAGAATCATGATTATAAATACGGGCCTAAGCGCTTCTGTTGTATAAAATATGCGCTATTCTCACGATTATTTGCATATAAATTCAATTGATCACAACAATGTCTCCAATGACAAAGCATTGATTCCAAGAAATAAAGTTTCCTATTAAATACGAAATATCTAAAAGTCACTTTGAAGAAATATTTAAATCATTTTCTCGTCGCTAGAGATTCGATTCGATCGATTAACGATTCGAGAATAACGTTACTTTCACTCTCTCTCTTTCCTGACTCTGCAAATTTTGTTTTTCAAAGTGTCATCACTTCCTTGAAATCTCTGATTTTATTTCGATAAAAATATGTTTGTGCGGAAGCGAAATATCATGTTCAATACACAGTGAGTTATGTGACTAAGAGTATTTACACAAGTATATTTACACAAAAGTGAATAAAAATACGTTTTCTGTTAAACGATAGTTCGATCATGGTTATTCGAAATGTTTGCAAATACGTTTGTTATGGCTTCTTGAAATATGATACACAATATTTCGAACAACGTCTATAAAAAGATACATGTATGTATGTAAAAGAAATATTATTGAGAAATATATGATCGTACATTTGTTCATCCAAAAGATAATGAAACATTATTTTTTGTTTCTTTCAGGTCTTAAAATGAAAACAATGAATGTGAACAAAAAATGAAAGTTTTTATGCTTCATTTTTTGTTCACATTCATTGTTTTCATTTTAAGACCTAAAAGAAACATCAAATCGTTGTCAATGTCATTTTATACATATGTGTATATATAAACAGAGTGTCTCATTTTAAAAGTTCCACTCTCATAACTTTTTTAATATTGATTGTAGAAAAAAATGTTTCAGACAAAAGTTATATGGCTTGAAGGGAGACATAAAATGGTGTCATTAGTAATAATTTCAAGCCTCATAACTCGGAAAGTACTTAATGAAAACTAACATAATTATAGTGTTTTGGAAAGCTCTCGAGATGAACTATAAGAACATGCAAAAGGATGGTCTAATTTAAAAAGTTGGATGTGACCTTCAGGTGACTTTTCAATGTCAAACTAATAACACCATTTTATGTCTCCCTTCAAGCCATATAACTTTTGTCTGAAACATTTTTTTCTACAATCAAAATTAAAAAAGTTATGAGAGTGGAAATTTTAAAATGGGACACCCTGTATATTATATAATATGAAATAAATATATATATATAATATATAAATTAATTACACGATAAATGACTGATAATTATATAACTTGATGATTGTTATCGATAGTGATACATAAAAATATTATTCATATTATATTTAACATAAAAATAATTAATAATAATTATAAATAAAAAAATAAAAAAAATAAAATAAGAATAAATTAAAATAAGAAAAAATAAGATTTTTTGCTCCTATTTTTTTTATTCGTTTACAAAGATTTAATTCATGATATGTGCGTGCGCAATAATTGGGTCAACTTTTATCGTTCTGATTTGTGATAAACACTTTTCATATTTCTATAAAACAAATTTTCATTAACTACTATTACTATAAGAAGTCATCTCTCTCGATACATCATATAAATAATTATTCTAAAAATAAATGATTTCGTACGTACCGCTTAATATATACTATAATACAACCTCATCAACATCAAGTCTTATCTTTCCAATGATGGACGTTTCTTGGACCCTCCAACAAAGTTATTAAAAATGTTGTTCAAGTTCTGTCTTATCTTTTTTTTTACAGGGCGATAATCTCGGCGCTGAATAATTTCCTCGTGCACGAGAACTTCGTGCGAGAAGGCAGAAGGCACCTTCGATAATTGACGCGATCGCGAAAACGATGCCTGCGGGAATCACACTATCTCGAGTCGTCGGAATATGACGTACGAATGCATGCTATGAGCGCACGGCAAAACGGACTGAATGCAACGATGTCCCTACTAGTGAATTTAACAAATGTCACCTGTGGGGGAGGCTGATAGCCCTGCACGCGCTCACAATGTTCGCATATGGACGAACGATCACTTTTTCCAAACGCATATTAAAATTCCCAATTTAGTATAATGTAAGTCAATTATAGAGACAACTTGTTGTCTGCGTGCGTTGTGCATAAGTGTAGTAGCTTTTTTTGCACCTATTTGCTCTTGTTATATAAATCGAAGAAACGTAAAAACGCGGTGTATGCGATTTTGATATTTCGATTGCGATATACATTTTATTTTTTCATCTTACGCAACAAGAACAACAGATATAAATGAAAAAAATATTGTGTAAAGCACACGCGAACACATTGCTTATTCCATTAAAAATAAATTAAACTAAAAATAGTCAAGTATATAAAATATTAGGCACACAGAATATTGAATTGCAATTAAAATAATCAGTATTTCGTATAATATATATTTATAATAAAATTATGATACATAATATCATGTGATGTTAATTAAATGTGATGTTTTAATAAAGGAAGAATGCGTAAATAAAGAATATCTATACGTTATCGCGAATTATTTTGTTGTGCAGTATTTATGTTTCTAAACATTTACATGTATGTATAGAATACGAGATATAGTCGAGGTTCCTTGTATTAGGCTTGTGCATCGTTTTCGAGCTATATACAAATGTAATTATGTTATTTAAGATCTATTCAGTAGCGATAATATTTATCGTATAAGTCTCATTTCGAATAATTAAAAAAATGCAATAAAAAGAATGCAAATGAACAGATATATTATAAATGATTTATTACACAACAGTGCAACAATGGAGATGGAATTATTGAATAATTAAAAAAACAAACATGTAGTGATATACGTCGAAGTAAATCTAACGAAGATTTTGCAAAAATTTCAAACTATGAAACTATGATAGTGATTAGTCTATTCACGTATGTATGTGGTACACGCGCGTATATATTAATATAATTATATAGGATAGTGTGTTATTAAGAATATATATATATATATATATATATATATATATATATATATATATATAAAATTGTATATTAGATCTTTTTGTCGCATAGAAAATTGCGCGCACATAATGAAGCATCAAGCTATTGCAATAAATTTTTGACTTTCAGATAGCTGTTTAAGGGGAAAAAAATCTTGGGAATGTGATATGTTCAAATAAAACATATTTTCGTTTCTTGTTAAAGATATATATATATATATATATATATATACATATATATATATATTCTTAATAACACACTATCCTATATAATTATATTAATATATACGCGCGTGTACCACATACATACGTGAATAGACTAATCACTATCATAGTTTCATAGTTTTGAAATTTTTGCAAAATCTTCGTTAGATTTACTTCGACGTATATCACTACATGTTTGTTTTCTAATTATTCAATAATTCCATCTCCAGTGTTGCACTGTTGTGTAATAAATCATTTATAATATATCTGTTCATTTGCATTCTTTTTATTTATATATCTTTAACAAAAAAACAAATATATTTTATTTGAACATATCACATTCCCAAGATTTTTTTCCCCTTAAACAGCTATCTGAAAGTAACAAATTTATTGCAATAGCTCGATGCTTCATTATGTGCGCGCAATTTTCTATGCGACAAAAAGATCTAATATAATTAAGCTTAAATAATAATTTCCAAAATAAACCATGCAGATAATTGTTATTTGCTTAACGATATCGACGGCGGCACCCAACCACCGAAAGCAGTCTCCAGTTCTTTTGCAACTGCCAAGCAGAGGCGATCCTGATAAGGTGCGGCTATCACCTTACAAATTTTTTTTAAATACAACTTTGCTTCATAAAACATTCTAAAACAGACCAGATAAGTTATCGTATTTTTCGAATGTTTGTACTGTTCTTATAAGGAAAGAGACATATTTGATTGCTTACTGAACACCAATGGGCAATCCCTCGTGGTTAGTCCCATCGGTACGTGCACTGCAGGAAAGGCCAAAAACATTTGAAAATTGCGCAATAGACGTTGCTCAATGTTTCACACAAGGTAAATTTTGAGAAAATCGCCGGACATCGGAAAGTCGGGTAAATAAATATTCCGTTCTCTTCCCAAAAAGATCCTGCGCAAGAAACGAAGAGGACGATGAGAATAGAGAGACAGTTACGATAATTGATGTTAAGATCTCGAGACATTAACCAGTAGTTCTGGCCGAATCGCTTTTCCCTGCTTCGTGTAATGCGATATATCTGATTCTGAGAATGGAAAAATGCGTCTCGAGCATTAAGCGTATATGGTAGTCTGCATCGTGTATTGGTGGCGACAAAACCGAAAGGAATTTTCAGAATTTCGATGGCTGGATTTTTTTTCAACTACGACAAAAGAAAAATATCAGAGATACGAAATTTTGTTTGGCATGATAAATACAATAAAAAAATATATTTTCGAATTGTTTATTTTTCGATAAAGAAAACAATTTTCATATCGTTTTATATCTAACAATGTAAGCGTGTAGATGTAAAGATATTACATTCTAATTTTAAAACAACGTGCCAGCAATATTGCGCAAATACGGCCGCGCAATGCAGTTTTGCAGTGAATATCGCAATTTTTTCAGCGTTACATGGAAAAGACACGAACGTTACATTTCACATGTCGACAAGAGA